CACAGAATGTAGTGAAATAATACTACATTCTGTAGTATTATTCACTACTATAAATAAAAGAATCACAATCATAAGAGACACAAATATGGCTAGTAAATGTTATATATATAAGAATGTAATAAATTGACTCTTAGTAGCGTATCCTATAATACAAAGTTCATGTTTATTTCGTTTGTAGTATTATATGGAAGCATAATAGTACGAAATAAACAATAATTCTGCTTCCCCCCTCTCTTTCTCCCACCCTTATTTTATAACATTAAAAGTAAGATAAATACAAAAATGTAATATAAAATATAAATAAAATAAACTAATAATAAATTATTTCCTTTGTTCACTTTTAAATTTTTACTTACAAAGAATCTGCGTGGAAAATGTAGTTGCATTTCGTTACATTTCACAATTGTAGCTTGTAAATTTATATGCATTTTTTATACAAATGAATACGATCGAGCATAAGTTACTTTTTTTTTTAATATACAAATATTAAAGTAATAATTTTGAAACTGTTTCATCGTTGCGGTTACTGCAAGAACCGTTTCTTTATATTCTTCAACCAAGCATTAATGCGCTCGCTACTGATATTTGAAGAATATTACTTATTATTTTTCTAAATAAGTCAGTCACATACATAGTTACAGAATCTAATTAAATATGCTCAACTTTTTTATCAATATCTATATGTAATATTGCGTAATTCATATATGTTTAATTTTTATCATAGATATAAGCTTCAAAAATTTTTCGGAAATGTAGTTGTTGAAATAAAGAAATATAATAATGAAATAAAGAACAAGGTTTTATTTATAGTTCTAACGAGTTCAAAATGTTATTTGGCTATGAATGAATAAATTTAACATTAAATATACTAATGTATAAAATAAAAAGAACATTTAATTTTCAATAAATAATCGTTCATTTTTAAATTGTTGTAATTTAAATCGTACAACATTTTACTTAGGCTAATTTTAAAACGTAAAGTCTTTGTTTTTATAATTCACAATTCTTTCCTTTCTTCTCAAAAATTTTACAAATTCAAACAAACTCTTTGTGGATATTGCAAAATTTTTTTCACAACAAAATCTACCATATACCATTGTTACTATATACAGTGTACTTCACTTTTTTTTACGCGTACATTTTAGAATTTTGAATCAAACAAATAATGCAATTGGTTTCACAGGCATTATTTTTATATTTCAAACAATTTGCTTAACTTTACATGAATTTTTATAAATACAAGTAAAATTATATAAATTCTCGTAATACATAAATACAAGTAAAATTACATAATTCTCTAAGCTTTCTAGATTGATATCCGATTTTATTTTTCAGATTTTTCATCTGCACTGTGCTTTTCATCTATATAAAATATTTTTTTTTCTTGCGTAGCAATTCATGTCTCTATTTAGATGTCTTAAAGTATTTCTTGATAACATTTGAAAAATTATTAGTTATATTATTTATTTAACTCTATTATTATATGCTATTATTTATTAAATAGTATATATTAAATTATATATTAAATAATATATTTAAATTAATATATGTATAAATATATTATATATTAAATGGCATATAAATTCTAATCATATTCTAAATATTTTTTTTTATTGATAATTAGGTTATATTCAGAATAACAATTCTATTTTGCACCAGTAATTTGATCTATCAATTTATTATCTATTAATTTAAGTCTGTATGCTATTCGAATATTACTAATTGTAAGCGACATAAATATGTTCAATACTTTTATTATACTTTTATTATTATTTTATCATTCAGCATTAATAAAAAAGAAATATTGAAATCGTAAAAAATAGAAAATACTTATCATACTATATTTGCTCAACTGATCGGTCGATGTTATTTACGTTTCTTACCATATACTATTTATGCTCAAGTAAATCGTAGATACAAGTTTTTCTATACAATATTCCTCTTATGTATGTATACACACATATATAAGCATATATAACGAACACTTGCAAATTATAATTCTTTTTCTATAATGTATAGTTTTTCTAAATATAAGTACATACGTTTCAATTCTATTATATGTATATGTTGAAGATCACTAAAATTCTACTTGCTACAAGTAAATATTAATAATTTTCTTACGGAATTTTAGCATATTGCTTGAAACAGATTGAGAGTTTGCTCAGAATGATTGAAAAATGATTGTTTCTCGAGCACGCCTCACAGAAAAATTCTTAAGTGATGGACATTGCAAACGCGAAAGAACGCGACATTGAAAATTGATGAGGGTTTCGATAATACCGCGTAATACACGACGTTATGATAGATTCACACTGTGAAAAATCAGAAATATATTGGAGAAATATATTTTTACGCGATAATCAGTCATTCGCTAATTTTGTAATTCTTGTTGTGTAGATATGTTCACGTAGATATTTGTTACATTGACTACGGCGACATGACAATGTAGCTAAATATAATCTAAAACAATTTTTGTTTCTAGATAAATGTCAGATACCATTTCGATATGATGTGTTGGTTCTTTCTTACATGAAATGGATGTGTCGCGATTGAGCATAAATAGCATATGGTAAGAAACGTGAATAATATCGACCGATCAGTTGAGCAAATATAGTACGATAAGTATTTTCCATTTTTTACGATTTCTATGTTTATAGAGTTATAATCTATAGAATATTTTTTTTATTATTTTGCATACTTAACACATCTAATCTGTGAGTCGAGGGTCGACTGCGTTCGTGCAACGTGAATGCGAGTGACATTTTTGCACTTATTAATAGTGTTTTATTAAAATATTTTTAGCGCCTTCAATTTACATCGAATTTAAATGATTTTTTTCTTATTGTTACTCAATTTTTCCTGGAAAATCCACATCTGACAAAATTTTAATTTTGAGGCACAGAATAATCCGTGGTCCGCAATTTTAGAAAAGGAAAATTTCGTTTCTCGCAGATAACCAACGAAAATATTAAACCGAAAAAACGGAACTTTCCGTGATTTGACACTTAATATCTATTAACCTTAAAGGGTAATTATATCTTTTATTTCTCAATAACCAAACAGGAAATATCGTTCCACACAATCAATTCAAGGAAAGTTTGAAAGAAAATGATTTGTTTTATGATTCTTTTCTAATAGTAAATACTTGCAGATCCAGTTCGAACAGAAGTTAAACTACAAAAAGAAAAAAAGAAATAATACTACCAATTTAGTGACCTTGCTGAATAATCGATCTTTAACGTATAAGATACTTTAATAAACATTAGTATGAAAAATATGTTTGATACAAATGTTTACTATATTAAAAGTACACAAAATAATATCATTAAAATAACATCATAGGTGAAAATAATAGAGGCCTATTATGATTTTAACTTACTATTAAAAGAAAGCTTTTTGGTAATTATCATATTCATCTATTTTGTATAAGTTATTATTTATTAAAGACGCGTTTATATAACGACTCAAGAAAGAGAATTGAAACTTGCTAGTAGAATCTTAGTTTCAGCACCTATAAAATCTATGATTGCACTAAATGTTTGTATAAGTACGATTCTACCGATATGGCCAATGTTTCTCGTTAAGCGACCATGATTTGTTCGTGACAATTTCGTGGAAAACAAGTTTAAACTTCCAAGTGATAAAAAGTACGAGAGGAGGATACTATGTACCACTATCCATCATGTCACGATCGTGGCTAGTTTCACGAATTTCAATTGTTATTCAAACTTGAAAGAAATAGTAATTGGGACGACTTCACGCACGATAAATGTCAAGTTGCATGTGATTGCGTATGACATGGATATTATAATTCGATTATCGAACGTAGCATTAATTCGACAAAAATGCATGCGCAATACTTATTACATGACACGAATATTAAACACACTATTGCTTATCGTTAGAAGAAGATACTTAGGACATAAATTTACGAATTCATTTATTTACTCTTTGACATAAAATATTTGGAAATAAATAAATAAATAAATAGCTAAACTATAAGTGTATATTAGAAATTTATCACTAAATCGAGTCAAGGTTGTTATTTGAGAATTTTTTTAACATCCAGCAGTAAAATATGAAATATGTTCGTACGAACAAAGAGTAATTTAGAGAAATATGAAGAACAAACTAGTAATCGGGAAAGGTGTGCATTTAATGTTTTTGTACGATAGATATCTTGATTCCTTTGGATTATTCACGACCGCTAATTAATCAAATTACTTTTCGCTTATCATATTATAGATATTTTTAATTATTTTCTGCGGATATGGCATGAACTTTTTTATGCCTTTTTTATGCCTCTGAACTGATATTGAATATCAGAGAAGACCATGCAATTCTGCATTTAACAATATAATATTCATATTTTTGTGAAATATAAAAGTAAATTAATTTATAAATATGATTTTAGACATTTCTATAGAAATAAAAATGTTGGTTTATAGTTGATTGGGATATTGTAACATTTGCATTCGATCGATAACGAATTGGCAAAGGTTTGTAGGGCAAAAACGGATTATCAATAAATCTGAGAATTAGTGACAGATCCAAAAGAAGTGTCGTCAGAAATCAAACAAAAATGTACAAACGGAGGAGTGTCGTCGCGGCAAACTATCAGAAATCGAAGAGATCGAGCAGCCAGCTTGATATTCGTCGGACGCGCGCCACGGAGCCCGTCGGCGTATGTACGTGGAATAAATTATCTGGAAGTCTCCTTCCCTTTTCTTGATCATACTTCTCTCTCTCTCTCTCTCTCTCTCTCTCTCTCTCTTTTTCTTTCTTTCTCACTATCTTTCTCTATGATCTTTCTTCTCTGTTTCCTTAACAACTATCTCTTTCTCCTACGAATCATTCTCCCACTAGCATGGCATGGCGTCTATAATGATTTCTCATTTGTAGTGGTGGGACGATACCGGAAGTGAAGTCAGAACGGCGGAACCAGACGTTCACTCAATGGAAAGTTTGAGTTCTTTCAGTGAGTCTAAGAAGGGCCGAGCGTAGATCGGAGTTCCCCGCTCGCGTAGAAAATCCGTTTCTTTTGCCGGGTATGCAGCATTCTCGCTTGCGACTCGCGTGTGCACGGTGCACAATACACAGAACAAACTCGAATAACTAGAGAAATTACGTTCGCTCTATTTTGCAATTGCTTCTTTCCTCTTTTCGTGTATTGATTAATGTGATAAATCTTTCTTTTATCGAATTTCCTGTGTAAAAATGAAACTGGGGTGGACATATGCTCTGGCATTCGTTTCGATTCCTCCAAAGAAATGTCAAAGAGGAGAAGATAGAAACAACGAACAAGTGAAACGACATTTGGCTTCGAAGAGTTGCAACATGATAAATTGAAATTTGAAGATCCTGGTTTTTAAAGGAAAGCAGAAAATGAATTTTTCTTGTTAAAATGTTTTACTCAAAAGAATTTTGAGAAGATAACAAGAGAATAGAATTGCAAACTGTACAAAGAGAACAGTTGTTACGTTAAAATATCTTTAACAACGAAAGAAAGAGTGACGGTATTCATATACATTATCTGAAAGGTATTCAATGCGAACACATGAATGCAAGAAAATTGAAGTAATTTTGATGAAAAATTTGATTTACAACACGCAAATACGAAACTTTTTAGACTAAAAAGTGACAACTAAATGGAACTTCAATTACTTGAACGAAGGAATTAAATAAATATAGAATAAATCAATAAAATCAATAAATCAATAAAATTTCACTAATTAGTTTCATGATTAGCGTTGATTTTCAACGAATTCTCAACGAAACAAGAAAGAAGATGCTTCCATTATCACGCATATTTCTGGATTAAAACATCAGAAATAAACGCATTGTGAAAAAAGATTGTTCAACGGAACTTTGTTGAACCTTTATTGGTTCGTTATAGAATGTATTAGTGAGGTGTTCGTAAATGATGTAAAAGAGGATTTTGGTGTATTCGCGACAATATACTTCAGAGATGGTCAGCCAACACGCAATGGCCACTACAGTTCGCAAAGTTAAGCAGGAGAATCGTCTGAGGCGACAAAATCAAAATCAAGGTATAGAGACTGCGCAACAATAATTCTTAACTTGCGCAACATATAGTAATGTCCATTAATATTTAGATTCTTAAATATTCAGATACTAAATATTTAAACTGCAATATAAATTTTGTAAAAAGGAATCGTACAGAAATAAACCTGAATTTATTTTAAAATTTGAAGCACTTTCGAAATGCGATTCATTTTATTATAAGATCTTTTACGTAGCGAGTGAGAAAGTAAAGGCATTTCTCGAAAATGTTATAAATTATAGTATGTAAAATCTCATATCTATAATATCATAGTATGTAAAAAACCATTGAAAAATATTTTTCATTTTTTTTCCTTACATTATGGCTTCAGGTGCAAGAAAGTGCACGAGGAACACAATAAAACTTAAATTAACGAATGTAGATTAATTCAGTTACGGTAATACCAATTAATTTTCTAGGAGAGAAGATATCTAACACAAAGTAATTTTCTATAGTAAATACACGTGGAACTTTGCTTCAACTACTTCAATAGAACTTTACGCGCAGCTGAACATCCTCCAATTATAATTTATTTGCTCCTTAATTTATCAGGAACTAGTACTATTTATTCTATATTTTTTGTATCTTTTGTAGAATAAAATTAATTATACTTACGATACACATTGGCGAATAAAAGAAAGTTTGTAATATAAACGAGAGATTATAAGATTTATTAAATATTGTATTCTTGCCATCGAGTTTATCGATTTCGAAGAATAACCAGAAACAAAATGTATGTATTTCAGATGAAGAAGGACTTTACAAACCTGTACCGCCACCGAAACCGGTGCCGAACAACCAAAAGAACCAGAACGGACAACAGGAGAGCAACAGGCTGCAGACGATAGCCGAAAAACCGTCCCGGCTGATTTCTAATATAGAGAGGAACAGCACATTAGACGACAACCAGATTCCAAATTCCGAGCAAAATTTTGCACCGGAATACAGGATGTCACCGCTTTACGGAGAGGAACAGAGTTCGAGTCAGACTCAACAAGCAGCTAACTTGCAGACACACAGCAGCAAATTTCCGGTAAATTTCTTTAAAACTATTCTATTATAGTTGCGATAGTGTTTTATATGATCAAGGAAAAGAGTTCGACCAAGAGAACAAGATGAATAATGATATAAAAATAACAAAAACATAGGAAGAATAATGTATATGGTATGCAATGCAACCATGTCACGGATAGTGGTTGTGTGTTAATTTCACGTTTGCGAAAAATATGTGTTCTCTATCCGTTCACTATCCGTGCACTGGCACGATACATATGTATGTACATACTACATAGATAGTAGTGCACAATTTCATGCAACGTACAAGTGGTCGCGGGCTGAAAACTTTTGTTATAGGCATGCTGTGCATAGGCGTGCTGATGAATTTTTACTAGCTCTGATAACGAAACGAGTTCTGAGGTATAATGAGCTGAATATAGCGATTCTACTCACGGACTTTGAAGCGATGCACCTTAGAAGCGGTGACTGGACTCGCTTCGAAGTTGATGGAAAAAAGAAACACCATGGTTAGAAATCAAGGCATAGCACTTTATTCAGTACGATCTCTGCCATCGACTTTCTAGTATTCTCCTTTTATCTCTTTTTCTACAACATTGCTATTACTACTGTTGTTGCTATTGCTGCTGTTGCTTTCGAGTCAGCGCGCAATTTCTCTTAATTGCGGTTCTCTCCTAGTGACACGTGTAGAACTCTTACGAATCCGTAAATAAGAATTATATTCACGCACCAGATAAAATTTTCTTCGGAGAATTCTTTTTACCTGTGAATTCAAAATTGAAACGAAACGAGCATCTATTTACTTACATAGTAAATAAATATATATTTGTTAATTAAACAAAAAATATATATATAAAGTAGGTGCATACACATACATGTAACATATGCATGATTAATTTATTGTATTTTAAAAAATAAAAATTAATGTTAATATAAAAAATTTGAGAGATAACGTTTTGTCAAAACGTTTCGTAGTATACATATACGTATTGTGTACTAATAAATTTTGTTAAGTCCAGACAATATAATTAGGATTTTTATTTTACAATAGTAAGTATTTTAGTATTGTAATGTTCTATTGAAAGGTACTTAGTAACTAGTTTTTTTCTGTTCAGTATTTTTGATGAAGAACTTCATCATCAAGAACATGATGTAGAAAATTAAAAAAAAACAATTACTCAAAATATCATGCATTGCTAATTAATATGACACACGTACTTCAACAAATTCGAAGAAATGTTTACAATTTATTGAAAATGATATACACGTGCTGAACATTTAATTCATATATCAAATTACAATGCTTTGTTTGGTGATAATAACCTTCCTATTCTGGTCTTGATTGTATGGTAATTAACTATTATTAACTTTTTCTCGTAAAAAGAACGCGGTGAATTTTGCATTTTAGTAAAAACACTTGATATGAATAGAGTGAAGAAATCAAATTATAAAAAGTAATATAAAATTAATCAGAATTAAAGTAATAGCAAAATTTAAATAATGATTATTTAAGTTTAATTATACGAAAATTTTTAAAAAAATTAATTTTTGTTTAATTTGTATTTAATGCAAATGTTAATTAGATTAATATTTTGAAACGTCGGATTTTAAGATAAAATACCAGAATTTTAAGAAAAAAACTTAAAAATAAAAATTAAACATTTTTTTACTATAAAATATGATAAAATAGTTTTATTTTAATTATTTGGAATAGAGATTTAAAGGTGGTATGAATGCTACACTACCATGCAGGTTTAAGCACTAAACAAATGAGACATTTTTCGTACCATCATGCCTCAAAGAGTTAAATAAAAATATTTTAAACATAATTAAATAAAATTTCAATATTTTTATCAATATAATATAAATTTACATGTTTTAGTATTTATTTTTATTTTTCTGCAATCATTTTTATCAGATTATTTCAAAAGATATAACTGAATTTATACGAAAATATTATTGCATCTATTTTTACAATGATCTATTCCTTCTTCTTTTTTTTTTTTTTTTTTTTTTTTTTTTTTAATGAAACAGACGGTTTAATTGAAATAAATATTTTCAATATGAGCGTTGGAAATAGAAAAAAATTTATACTTGCTCTAGTCGTTAAATTTAATTATAATCTTATTTAAAAAGAATTCAGAAAAAATAATCAAGATACCATTCCATAATATAAAAGTATACAATAAATATTAAAATTACGCTATTGTAATCGTGGATAATTTAACAGCAGTTAGAAAAAAATTATAATATAATATAATATAAATATGAACATGAAATATGCAAAAAGTAACAAAATACTCGGAATTATTACGAACAAATTTAAATTATTCAAGTAAATAAATTGATGAGTTCCATTGTTATGATAATAGATCTAGTAATAATTTATCATCGATTAAAAAGATAAAGAAATAAGAAAAGAAGACAAAACATATTCAATTTTAATAGAATTCAATGCCAAAATACTATAATTCTAGTATTGTTTATATCAGTATTTATATCAGTTATTTATAATAAGCTAATTATTTACTTTATTTTTTTATCGATTTTAATGATCTTGAAATATAATATATCGTCAAAATCATCATTCTTCAAAAACTTTTCCAAAAATAATATATTTTTATTATATAAAAAAATAATATATTTTTTATTGTACAAATTTTTCCATGTATTATATATAGTATGTTTAATAAATAGTCGCCACATCGATCGGTTTTAGTTTCTGAGATATTCGCAAAAATACCTTTATCATTTTATGTATTTTATCGTATCTTTAATGTTTGGGATTTGTTTATGTTACAAATTATCGTTTATAAACAGCATAAATGAGATATTTCAAGAATCTTTTCTGTATTTATCTGTAATCTGTTTGGTTGTTAATTTTCATTGAAATAAGATATATCGTGTTATAAAATAGTTATAAAATATGTTTTCTAAATTTAAACTCAACTTAAAATTGAAACAAGAAATTTCAAGAACACTGGTATGATTTTATGGCGGTCGATTAAAAAATCAACCTTAAACATTCATTTCAAGAAACTAATCAGTTTTTTTTTAAGTTTTAAACTGGTATTGGTTTGGGTTCAAAAATCATAAGCTGAATTCTTAATTTCTTATTATAATTTAAAGTAATACACAAAAAATAACTCTTAATAAGTTTTCTATGAAACTCAGGAAAATATGTATCAGATGTAATACATATACACATGCACACATATATGCACATACAATATATTTGAAAGTCATTGAAATCAGTCTAAAAGAAAACAAAATTCTAAATAATTAAGTGTATAATCATGAACATTCTGTTACAAATCCAAAAATCATTGAAATCAATGAAGTTTGCTCTTCAAAATTTTTATATTTATAAATTATATTTTCGCAAATATCTCAAAAACCGAGATCAAGCGGCAGTAATGTATAAGGAAAAGTTGTTCAAATAATGATCTTGATTTCAAGATCATCGTAATAGATGAATACCTAAGTAATGTAGTAAATAATTATTCAAAATGGTTTTAACCTTTTAAATTTAATTAATTTTTATTTAATTAAGTTTTAGTGTAGTTAATCCTTTCAATTTATGGAAAAGAAGTGATAAAAATTTTTTCCTCAATTTTTTTCGATTAGATGAAGGAAATCAAATATAAAAAAAGGGAATTTCAAAAATATCTTATTTAGTACAAAAATTACAATAGTTGATTACGTACATGATATTTTCAATGATTTTTCATAAAACTTTCTGAGATTCTAAGTGTAACAGGGTTACATAAATATAAAGATATTTTTAGAAAAGATAATGTCAAAGACTCTAACTTGGACTAACGAAGAAGAAAAGAATCAATTATGTATGATATATTTTGAATTTGAAGCAGCGACTGAGGAAATAATTGTTTGACATCGATCACGTCTATTTGTGATAAGATTTTGATTGTAACAAAAAATTTACAGAACAAAAATGAAAAAAAAAATCATAAGATTTTAGTGAATTCAAATCGATACAAGTTCCTTGCAAGAACGCAGAGAATTATTTTTTTCATCTTATTATGAAGATTTTATAGTAAATATTATAAATTTATTCAGAAATAACACTTAGTTTTTTAAATTAGAGATTCAAGAATTCCTGGATTATCCTTCAGACCGAAATGGTTAAATTAAAATATCGACTGTTTAGACAAATTCAAGTTGTTGATCGGTATTATTTTAATACTTGTCGAAAATTTCTCTATAGAACTATCAATAAGTGTAGTATTCCAATCAAAAGTATAATAATCCAACTTGAATAGGTGTCGATTAGATGATATAAGACAGATATTTTCTTCCGAAAATATTCAGGATCATTGTCCTTTGAATGTTCGGACAACAAGACTTCATCGCTGCATGAGACTTTGCAAATAAATTTTGTCAAACGGAACGTAATAACAAGGCAAGTATTAAATTCCATAAGGAAGGAACACAAGCAAAACGCGTGAATTTAATATCCTCCTTGATGTTCCGCGTTGATTGTGTAGGAGTATACCAAAGAGACGCTCTTAAGAGCGCTTTGACATTTTCCTTTCAAGAGGAATGAAAGCATTTTATTCTTCCCTCCGCCATCCATCCCTTTCTATCAACTTCAATGCTCCCTTTCTGATATCAACTTCAATCTCAGTTCTTTTTTTCTCTGAGGATAAGCAACGGCTTTGCCGGCTGCGCTGAATCCTTGTATTCCGAGTATCATGCGTATGAGAAAATACGTTTTCTTTACAAATTGAACGAACATGGGAATATATGAAACCCGAACGTTCGTATATAAAGCCTTTTATTTGGCACCAAAAGTAATGAAAATCAAATTATATGTTTAGTAATTCAATATTTAACGTTTCCGTTACCAGGTCAGTTTTGAACAGCATATATTATACAATAATGACACGGCTCCATTTATTCCGATAATTTCACTTTGAATTAACTCAGATTTTTATATCTTTATGCTTTAAATATCTTTATGCTTTTTTTATTTATTTCTATCAAACAGCAAGTAAT